GTGTCTTTTCCTTCTTTTTTTTTTTTTTCGTTATTCTGATAAGTGAAAAAACATGGCAAGTTTACTGCCATACAGAAGATTGCTTCCATCGTGTGAGGCATCACAGACCTGCCTGCCAGGAAGCCCTCCACAGGACCCCCATGGAGGACCCCCCTACCCACCCAAGCACTGCCCTGGATACGGTGTATATGGACTGCCTACACAACACCGGCCCACATGGGTGCGGTGTAACTAAGGGCCAGCTTCCCCCCTCCTCTGACTTCAATCTGTCTGAGCTCACAGTTCCTGTTCCTCATAGTCAACAGGGAAGCCCCGTGTGTGACCGTCATTTCTGGACTTTGAGAACTCTGGGCGTATGAGGTTCTGGCTTGATGCTAGGCCTTTGCAGCCTCTTCCGGAAACCTGGGACCCAAGCCAGCGATGTTTCATTTTTACTTTTCCATACTCTGTCCGTGTAGGGACCGGGTGAGGTTTCTAGGCCTTTCTAGAATTTCAGGAAATAATGTAGCTGGGTCTCTTGCCTCCTGCTGTGTTCTCTTATACATCAGACCATATTACCTGCTCCATAGTTGAAGTAGGAAAGATACATATTTACATGGAAGAAGTCCTAATTGTGGCAACACGAAATAAGCAAAGAAAGCACGGCTCTTAGAGAAAGAGAGCCAGATTCAGATCTCGGGGAAGCTGCTGCTTAGCAGAGCGTTATTCCTTTTACATATTCCTTTAATTAAATCCTCTAGCTCCTACCTTCCACGCAATGGGACCTTAACAGAAGCCTCGAAGATCCAAGTGTGGCCCAACCGTGGCGAGCAGAATGTTCAGAAGCTGGCCTGGCGGTGACACCAGGAACTGGGGACAGGAGCCCTCAGTAGTGTTTCTCCACGCGCTGTCACTGACCAGCTTTCAGAGGCTCCCCTCCAGATCTCCTGAAGCTCTAGGCTTGCGGGGGTCTAGGAATCTGCAGAGGATTCTTCTGATCCACCGCTCCTGAGGAAAAGAAAATACTAGGAGATAAGACTGAGCCATTGTGAGAACCGGGAGCCTCTTCTCACACTGGGTATTGGGGAGGGACCCTTCCCACGAACCCTGCAGAAGCACCTCGGTTTTATTCAAGAAGCCATTCAGTTTCTTTACGCTGCTCCTACCCCTCTGGGTTGTAAGAAGTAATGTAGGAAAAGTGCCTAGCGGTTAACACACGGTAGCGAGCATTAAAAAACAAAACTCAAGAAGTAAAATTTAAAGATCTACTTGGCTTTATTAAGCGACTCATGAATTGGGCAGCATTCCATCAGGCCAGGAGAGACGTGCTCCAAGGAGTTGTCCAAAATGGAAGGTGCCGGAGTCCAGCCCCAGCAGGTCCAGGGGTTCCCGAAGGATGAACGGCGTCGGCAAAAATAACAAATGCGCACAGACGACAGCAGTGTGTTAGGCCGCTTTATTGTGGCAAGCGTGGCATTATATGCGTTATTCCTTGTGGCGTGCATCCTCTATGTTTCTCGGCTTTACCTAATTCTAAAAATGCTCCTTTGTGTCATCACCCATTAAGGAACCTCATGGTTATTTCTTTGTAACATTCCCTCCTCCCCTTTGCTTATTAATTTCTTGATACTACTTTCGTTATGTATCTACGTTTACTTATAGTTTATGAAGCGTTTGCTCTGCTATTTTCACGAAAGGCCATCCAGCTCTCAACACCTCAAGTGGAACGTTGACAGGGACATGACTTCTTAATTGTTCAATTGATCCTTTGAACAATTTGCGGTACAAGGAACAAAAGTATTCGCTTTGGTCTGGGGTGGCGGGAGGGAGCCAAGAGGGCCCTGGGAACCCACGCCTTATGCGCTCCCAGAGAGACAATGTATACCTAGGAATTAATGAACCATTCCATACCTTAACCCACCAGGTCCAGTTACCATCTGGAATGCCTCCTGGGGGCCAAGTGGGCCTAGGGGTTCGAGTAACTTGTATCCATAGATACATTCCTTTGTGGCCGGAGTGGGGCTTTCGAACCCATTTGCCCCCCTGCCTGGCTGGGAAATATATGGGGCTATCTTTCCTTTAGGGGACGGGCAGGCGGGGATGGCACCCGCTGGATAAAAGGTTTCTTTTTTGTACTGGGGGTCATCCCCAGAAAATATCCCCGCGTTTGCCCCCATGGGTTTATTTTGAATCATCGATGCCAGCTGGACCATGGGGATGGCCGTGATGAGTAACAGGAGGGATACCAGTAGCTTCCCATTCGGAGGGTCGCTGTGCATTGCCCTTCCGCCAACCCCCCGGGCTGTGCCATCAGGAAGGCTGGACGGATTGGCTCCCGGCAGGAACGTTTTTATAGGAAAGAGGGAAGCAAGAAGTTATTTGCAAAAGAAAAGATGGTTTCAGGCAAGGTCACCTTGGGAAGGGCAAGGGGTCTTATCACGCACATTATGTCACCTCCTTTGGGGGCAGGGGGGGACTGGAAAGGGCCCAAGTAACATATTACCTCACTGATACTGGCCAGAAAATTCCAGACTGACTGGCTTCAAATTCCACTCCCGGAAAGTTTGAAACTGCAATTAAGTCTTGGTTTGCAGGACTGGAGGCAAGTGACCCCACCTTGGGCCTGCGGTTTTCTTTTTAGCGCTAATAACCATAGCACTATTAATGATCAACCCTCTTGTTTTTTCTCAGCTCATTCATTTATTCCTTCACCTTGAAGCACCAGCTGAACATAACCGACCTTCCTGTGTTATTCTGGGATGGCAGTGCTGCCTATTCAGACAACTTTCAAACAAGATCAAGGTCAGGTGTGACCCACGGAGATCCTGAGCAGAAAATGAATCTGACTCAAAGGCCTGCTGTTTTACTTCTCAAAGGCATTTCTTTAATGCCATTTAAAAAGATTTTTTTTTTTTTTTTGAGAGATAGAGAGTGAGCCGAGGAGGGGCAGAGAGAGAGAGAAGGAGAAAGAATCCCAAGCAGGCTCTGCACTGTCAGCACAGAAATCAAGAGTCGGAGGTTCACTGACTGAGCCACCCAGCGCCCCTGATGTTTATTTTCGATAGCGTATGTTTCCTGTACAAATTTCAATAGGAATAAAAAAAGTATACGGTGAAAAGGCTGTTTCTCTCCAGCCCTCTGCACTTGGACATCTTTTGAGGCAGTCCCTGCTAACACGTCCCTTTCAACTTTGGAAACAAACTTACAGATTTTCTCTGTCCCCGTGCACAAATGAGTAGCACACTTTACACACGATTCTGCCCCTTGATTTTTCTTACACATTTTAGAGCTCTTTCCATACCGGCACACACAGAGCACCCTTCCCCTTCCGAGCTGCTTACATGATTCAGTGGAATGGATGCAGCGTGATCTAACTCTCCTTGTGGGTGGACATATTAAAAATAATGCTGTGCATCTGAAATTGCACAAGCTTGCCTGTCGGGGGGTGGGAGGACCGCTGGAGAAGGGCCGGCTGGGCCAAAGGGCGTGTCCATAGCCAACGTCAATCCACGCCACCAACCGCCCACAGCAATGTCGACATCCAATTTAGGCTCCTACCAGAGACTGCCTGCCGCCCGTCCCCTACACCTTCACCAAAAGGCATGGTGAGGGCCGATGGTTTTCATCTGGGGCCCCTAACATAAGATTTTAAAGACCAGGGCGCCTGGGTGGCTCAGTCGGTTAAGCAACCCATTCCGGCTCAGGTCATGTTCTCTCTCGGGTCCTTGAGTTCTAGCCCCGCATCAGGCTCTCGGCTGCTCTCTGCGCAGGCAGCACAGAGCCTGCTTTGGATCATCTGTCTTCCTCTCTCTCTGCCCTTCCCCCCACCTCAAACATCAGCAAATAAAAAAGCGGGGGAGGGGGGACAGTTAAAAAAGAGACCCGACCAACCGAACCCTCCTGTCCCGCCTCCCCGACAGGGCGTACCCAGAGCGCACCCGGGCCGCCCACGCGGGCACTCCGGGCGCACCCCGGCCCGGCCAAGGTGCCCTTGCGGGTACGGCGGCACAGACCCTCGGGCGGCCGCCACCGACCGTCACCTCCGCGCCAGAGGACTGCGGCGGCCGGGGCTGAGCCAGCGCCAGCCAATCCCCGGCCGGCCCCGGCCGTTTTACGGCAGCAGGTCCCAGCCAATCCGCGCCGCCGCCTCCCGCCCTGCGCCCTCCCATAGGCCGAGCGCCCGGCGGCGCGGCGCGGCCGTAAGGCGGAGCCGGCTGTCGTGACGCGGGCCCCGGGGGCGGGGGCGGCGTTCCCGCTGTTCGCTGGACTGGGTGTCATTGGGCTCCGAGGAGCGGCGGCCGGGGCACTGCGGGGTGTCTGGTGTCGGGCACGGCCATGGCGGGCGCGCTGGTGCGGAAAGCGGCGGACTATGTCCGGAGCAAGGACTTTCGGGACTACCTCATGAGGTGACGAGTCCCCCGGGCCAGACCTCCGGAACCCCCGAGGGCTCCCGGAGGTCGGGGTTGACGCCGCCCGGGACGCGGGGGCCACTAGGGCGCGGGGGCCGGGCGGCGGGGCCAGCGGGGGTAGGGGGCAGCGGGGCGGGCTCCGGGTAGCGCCGAGGACCCTGGCCCCTGGCGCGGTTTCCTGGCCGGATGTCGCCTCTCGGCACCTGCGGGGCAGCTGGGCGCCCAGGTGTGGGGCTGGGAGGGGCCGGCGGGAGGCGCCGGGAGAGCGTGCGCGCGTCCAGGACGCGGGCGCTGCTGCAGGTGCGCTGCAGGTGCGCGCGATCGCCCCTCCTGGAGTCCCCGCGATCACTTGTGCCGGGTCCCGCGCGCCTTTCCGTTTTCCGGCTTCGGAGGACTTTCAGTCTGAGCGGGGAAGGGAATCCAATCTCAAATATTTTTATGCACGAGTATTCTGACGGCCAAAGTAAAGCAGCGCGTCTTCAAGGACAAGCTTTTCCTTATTCGATTTTCCCTTCACTCTTCCTTTCCAGTTAGAAACGAAGGGCATTTGCGGGTGAAAGGGCCCAAGACACACTTTCTACATTCTATTTCCATCTCGAGTCTTGAGACTCTTGCCTTTATTTCAGAATATGTAGTATAACTTTACAGCCTTCATATATTATTATATTATATTACATTACATTACATTACATTATATCAACCAGGTATTAAAGATTTTTAATTTTTTTTAAAGTAATCTCTACACCCAAGGCGGGACTTGAATTCACAACTCCTGAGGTCAAGAGTTGCAGGCGCTACCCACCGAGCCAATCTAGTGCCCCTGAAACAGTTTTAAATACTTTATTTAGGAGTTTAAGTTTTGGTTTTCCTGTCTTGTGATTTTAAAACCTAGGTGTTGGGCTATGTTTTGTTTTGTTTTGTTTTGTTTTGTTTTGTTTTGGGGGGGGGGGAGAGAATCCCAAGCAGGCTCCACGCTGGGTGAGCAGCTGGACCTGGGGCTCAGTCCCACCACCCTGAGATTCTGACCTGCGCCGAAATCGAGAGTCCCATGCTTGACGGAGTGAGCCATCCAGGCACCCCTGTTTTGTTTTGTTTTGTTTTGTTTTGTTTTGTTTTTGTTTTGGTTTTGTTTTGTTTTCCAATGGTGAATAGCATGCTGAAGAGGCTAAGTGAGGACCACTGAGGACAAATGAGTCCTGTAACCATCCAAAAGGTACAGCGCGAGGGCAACTGAACCTCTGCCAATGTGAAAAGAATTCCTTTTTAAGTCCTGAACTCTGCAAACACTGTTCACTTGTAATTTTACAGAGCAGCAGGGTGAGAGGTACGATTCAGTCTCTCCTGTGATGAATTTGGAAACAAGCTTCACTCCCGGCTCTCCAGTTAGGAAGTTTCTGTACTTGAGTAGGACGGTGATCAATGAGGACAGATGTTTAGTGCTGTGGAGCTGGGTGGTTTATCAGAGGAACGTGTTGGGGAAATCTGAGCAAGCAGTCCTGCGAGGGTCAGTTCTCAGCCCTGCGGTTAAGTTTCTCTTGGAATGTTACCTTTTTACTACTGTCTTCTGCTTTGGATAATGGGCCTTCCTGATCATTAGGTACAGCAGAGGATAAAATTGTATGGAATAATTGAGAACAAAGTGGTCACACCTTATTCATTTAAGAAAAAATATTGATTTTTAGGTAACGTCCTATTACCTAAGAATAGTTTGTTAGATTTATTTTCGGGGCTCCTGGGTGGCTCAGTCAGTTTAGCGTCCAACTTTAGCTCAGGTCATGATCTCCCAGTTCGTGGGTTCGAGCCCCACAACAGGCTCAGTGCTGACAGCTCAGAGCCTGGAGCCTGCTCTTGACTCTTTGTCTCCCTCTCTCTGCCCCTCCCCTACTCGTGCTCTATCTCTCTCAAAAATAAACATTAAAAAAATGTTTTTTAAATACATTTTCAAGGAAGTGAGCCCTGCTTTTCTACTTATTTCTATTCTTATTTTTACTATTTTCTATTTCTGTCTTTTTTTTCCTAGCAGTTAGGTTTCCCAGAGCCGGACTTTTTAACTCAATATTTTGATATGGTTTAACCTTTCTTCCTAAGATTAACTTCATGTGGTTTACTGTGTGTATACTTTTTCCAGTGTTACTTTGAGTTAAGTCTTGACTAAATGAGGAAGAGAGTGGCAGTGCCCGGGGAAGAGTGCTGTCTCCTGGGGCAGCAGACGGAACAGTGACTCCTGCTCAAGGGATCCCCAGCAAATCCAATCCCAGTGGGCCTCGGTTACCTGCCTGTGAAATGGGTTTAATGATCATGCTGTTTCTGGTTGGGTTGTTGAGAACATTAAACTGGATGAGGGATGTGAAAATAAATACTCAGACTCCCAATCACCATGCAATTCATAATTTATATTCCGCTGTGTGTGTGTGTGTGTGTGTGTGTGTGTGTGTGTGATCAGAAACACTCTATACTGTTCTGGAAAAGGTTAAAATCTTGTGAAGCTCTGTGATCCTGACCTGAAATGACTTCTGTGAACTGACTGGATGGAGCGAGATGCCAGGCTGGCTGTGTTTGCCCTGCTGCGGCTGTTGGCAGCAGTGGGTTTCATGCCCCCCACGGCCGGGGGTGGAGGGCCGCTGAAGGGCTGGTATCAGAACTCTCACCAGGCGATCTTTCCTTGAGCTTTTTCTCCTAGAAAGAGAACCTGCTCCCCCTACAACTTACAGGGGAAAGCTCTCCCTGTGTGTTCTCCCAAGCTGCTGTGCTTTGCAAATGAGAATTAAGCCCAAGGAAGAAAACCTCATCACCTCTCTCTTCCATCAGAAATGAGGGTCTGCACATTCTCACCTCCGCAGTGACTTTGCACTCCCTACCAGCGGAAGATCTGGATCCTTACGACCTACTGAGGGGAGACAGAGGTCTTCTAAACTAAAGCTGTTCCTGAATTTTTTTTTTAATGTTGTATTTATTTTTGGGAGAGAGTGCAAGTGGGGGAGAGGCAGAGTGAGAAAGGGACAGAGGATCTGAAGCAGGCTCCGTGCTCACAGCACAGAGCCCAGTGCGGGGCTCGAACTCAAGAACGACGAGATACGACCTGAGCTGAAGTCAGACGCTCAACCAACTGAGCCACCCAGGCGCCCCATAAAAATTATTTTAATAACACAGTTGAGTGTTTCAGCAAAAATATAAAATCCTATTTCATACAGATTATAAAATTCTGTCTGTCACATTGTATGAGTAAGATTGAAATGTCTTTCTTACTAATGTGGATTTCCAAGTGTATTTTAAAATGTTCATTTTTTTGCACCAAGCAACAGAAGTTAAGGAATAGGTTGTAGCCATAGCAAGAGTGTGGACTTTGATTGGATATAGAGTGGAAAAAAATGAAAGGCATTACGAGGACGTTTAAGTAGGGTCTTTTTTTTTTTTTAATGTTTTTATTTTTAAGGGAGAGAGAGACAGAGCATGAGCAGAGGAGGCGCAGAGAGTGAGAGGGAGACACAGAATCCGAAGCAGGCTCCAGGCTCTGAGCTGTCAGCACAGGGTCCGACGCGGGGCTCGAACTCACAGACTGTGAGATCATGACCTGAGCCGAAGTCAGACGCTTAACCAACTAAGCATCCTAGGCACCCCTAAGTAGGGTCTTAATATTAAGTAATTACTGACAGCTTTCGTCAGATGTGATTTATGGTAACGTCAGACCCAAGTGATGAGTTTGAACAGTGAGTTAGAATCCTGGCGCCCGTCATTTTTAGCTGTGTGGTCCTGGACAATTACTTATCTTTTGTGCTTTGGTAGCTGTTTGACAATATAGTATCCTGCTTGGCAAAAGTACGTGACCCATTTATTCTTTATTATTATGCCATGTTGAATCCTCTGGGTTCTGATACTCTTTTTTTGGTGCCTTCTGTCTCTTCTCCGGCTGATTTTCTTACCCTAACGAGGATCTTGAATCAAGAACTTCCTGGATCTCTGTTATCTTTTTTTTTTTTTTAAAGTAATTGCCAAAGTGGGTCTTGAACTCACAACCTGAGATCAAGAGTCGTGTGCCCTACCAACTGGAGCTGGACAGGCACCCCTGTCTTTTTTTTTTTAACTTTTAAAAATTTTCTCATATACCTTCTTGATGGAGTAAAAGAAATTGCTTTTTGTTTTTCCTTTCTTCATTCTTGCTCCTGAATTTTGGCTAAGAAGAATGAATTAAGATTGAACAAGTAAATTCTGAGGTGTAAGGCATATGCTTTAATGATTGAGTCAGTGACGGTCTGTGCAGATTTATTCTAGAGATTTACCCCCTTTCCTGAGAGAGGTGGATGGATGGATGGATGGATACACACACACACATCTGTGTGTGTGTGCGTGTGTGTGTGTGTGTGTGTGTGTGTGTGTGTGTGTATACGTATATAGGGAGACACAGGATCTGAAGCAGGTTCCAGGCCCAGCTGTCAGCACAGAGCCCGACACGGGGCTCGAACCCACAAACCGTGAGATCATGACCTGAGCCGAAGTCGGACGTTCAACCGACTGAGCCACCCAGGTGGCCCTTGACGTATTTTTAAATGGTACCGAGTTTAACGTTCAGAAAAAAAAATCACTGGAAAGTTTTTACTATTCATTCAACAAAGACTTTTTGAGTGCGTGGCAAATGCTGGGCACTGTTTGACGTTCCAGAGTTTTAGAAGTGAACAGAATGTAAAATTACTTGCCTGTCTTTAGGGGCTTTCTTTCTGGCAATAACCTGTTCCTAACGGCGAGCTCGCCGTTGCCGGAGCTGTGCGTCACCGCATCTCTCTCCTGCTTGTCCTTTCCAGAGAAACGCCCCTGTTCAGCCTGTGCCGTCCAGCCTGACGGCCGTGAGCGCTTTCGCTGTGGCCACAGTCCAAATGGGGTGCACCCTGAATGTCTACATGCACCGGATCTCAGGAGCTTAGTACAAAAAAAGAATGTAAAATAGCCCATTCATAAGTTTCTCTCGATTACGTGTTCAGATTAAGATATTTCCGGTACGTCAGAATGAACTTAATAAAATCGACTTCTTTTGTTTTACTTTTGTGAACGTGGCTTCTGGAAATCTTAAAATTAATGTGTGGCTGCTGCTAGTCACTTGCATCACGTTTCTGCGGGACAGCTTCGCTCTGAGGCTTCAGCATTAGACCGTGTCGTGAAACGGAGGTCAACGCTGTTGCTGGGATTACCCCCACGTCTCAGGGATTGAAGAGTGTGCTTGCTCACCTGTGGCTCTGCTGTGGGAACCGGAGCAAAGTGGGAGGTCGCAGGAACCTGGAGGAACAGACGTCTTTCAAAGCAGCTGATCTCTCTCTCTCTTTTTTTTTTTTTTCCATGTCTCTTGTCTGCGCCTTGGTGACTCCTCACCAAATAGTACGGTAAGAAAATTGTTCTGCTTCATTTCAGGCTTTTGCAGACTTTCTGCACTAAGAGAGGTATGGATGGCAGGCCCGGCCTCCTTTGCTTGAGATAGCGTATCCAGCCACCGTGCCTGGTGGCTCTCCCGGTGTCCCCCTGGGTGACCTGGTCCACTCTAGGCGCTAACCCCTGGCAGGACCAGTGCCTCGACTGCTGAGCTGATGGGCGTGGGCCAAACACGTATTTCCAAACAGGGAAGTGACACCTAGAGGCGTGTACTAGGCGAAGGATGCGTTACTGACTTTCCAAGGCTAGATCTCTTAGTGAACAAGTATTCAAATTATTTTTACCTTTCATGTTCTTTTTAAGAAACAGTGTTCATAATCGAGTGTGTAGATAGCCTTCGACTTGCAGCGCTCTGCCTCACGCTTAAGTCCTCGCACCAGAATTTGTAATCCCATCATTTGTGCGGACAACCCCAGGGCTGCTGGGGGTGTGGGATTTCTGCCCTGGTCTTGTCCGTGGCCCTAGCCGTGAGGGAAGACTCCTGTGTGCCCGGTGGGGGAAGCCCCTCCTAGGCAAAGTCTGCAGGCTGTTCCAGCCCGGAGGCTGTGCGTGATAAAGTAGATACTGGGCCACCACGCAGTGCGGAGCTGTGGAAAGATTAACTAGAAAAAGATGAAACTAGACCAAAGTGGAGAAAGGCCTGGTCAAGAAAGGAGGAAAGGAAGACACTGGGGTGGTAGCTGGAAAATGAAGGGACTCCCAGGAAAAGGACAGGTGGAGAAGGGAGGAAGATGGAGACGGAAGGCTGGGGGCCCTCCGTCACCAGGCGTCTGGGATGGAGGGGAGAGAAGGGACAGCGGCCACCCGTCATCCAGGTACTGGAAGTTAAGGTTCTAGAGGTGTGTCTCACCCAGATAACATCCGGTCTAAAGACAAGAGGACTAGTTAGCCGCCCAGAACCCCGGAGATCGTTTGCACCCGCTGTGTCTAGTTTGCGGGGTCCTGACTCTGTTGTAGACTGTCAGTGCCTAGCGTCCCGGCCCCGCGGGAGCTCTGATGCGTCACCACTGTTTCAGACCTAGCATGCGAAGTAAGCACTGCAAAATGCTCTCCTGTCCGGCCAGGTGTCATTCTCCTCTATTTTTCTTGGATTTCCCTGGTCTCCCGCTGCTTATGGGAGTTTGGGTTTTAATGACTCCTGGTCAGTGTCAGAAACGGATTCAGCAGCCTGAATTTGTCTTAAATGCTCCAGCGGGCAGCACTGCACAGATTACTGCTTAATATTCTGAAAACTAAGAAGGGTGTTTAATGACGTGTGGTTTCTTTCATATTTTAAAGTACTGAAAATTGCACATTCATAAAACAATTTTTAATGTGCTGGAAAAGCCAGCAGCCAGTTTTATCAAATTGGGTGCCGCTGCTGTTAAACACGGGCAACTTCTTGGTTCCGGGGCGGCCGTGGTCACAGTGTGGCACGTAGGCGGGGTCTTTGCCATCAAGAGTAGTTTCCAACCTTAATTTCCTAGGATCTGGCAGTTCTGAGTGCGGGTTTCCAGGCTCTCTGACCTTAATCTAGTTCACACGAGCTGAAAAGCAGGTTCTCCCCTCTTAGGGTACTTTCTTCAGAAAAAATACCCAATTTAGGATCTGCATGGTAAGAGATAGTGACAGATCTCTTAATGAGCATTTGAAGGGGGAGGGGGGCTGATAGATTTAAACATTACCTTGCAGAGGATAGTTGTAATGAGGTTTAAGTTGTGCCAGGAGGGCATGGGGTGAGAAGTTAATCGGATTGAAAGTTCTCTGGGCGGGGCATTCGGTTCCCTGGTGGGAAGCTGCCAGATATTTTCTGCCTCTGGGCTCGCCTTTGAAGAGCGGCCCATTTCTGGGCTGACCCTGGAACAGTCAGGGCCCAGATGTTAACCGGCCTGCAGGCCGTGCACACGATGGTGAAGACCTGTCCTCACGCGTTTCCGTTATCTGCGTTATCACTTAACGGAGGGCCGCAGCTGTTCACGCCCGCCTTACCCTTTTCCTCTTCCCTTTCCCTCCTCTCATTTCTGTAGCACTTCTGGGGCCCTGTAGCCAACTGGGGTCTTCCCATTGCTGCCATCAATGACATGAAAAAGTCTCCAGAGATTATCAGTGGGCGGATGACATTTGGTAAGGATGCGGCTGAACAGTTGGGGGGACTTCACGCATAGAATCACGCGGAATATGGCTCCCACGCTCCGCTGTTTGCAAGCGACCTGTAGAGCGACACGGCGTTGGAACGGCGTTGCTTGTCCGTGGGGAGGAAAAAGCAGAGTTGTTTTGAAATATTTATCTAGAAAGTGTTGGGGTCCTGTGTGCCTTTCAGATGGGCACGCAACTAAAAACTGTCCTCTCTAACCTCTCTTTGGAGGAAGTGCCTTTAAGCGTATTTGGAGCCCTGCTACTTGTCCTTAAGGTGTTGTTGCGGGATTAAGTAGCAGTTCTTCCAGACGGTGGGCCATAAACAGTTCTGAGGGGACAGGAAGTGGTCTGAGCTACTGGCCACTGCAGCCAACAGACCCGTCCTTAGAGTGTTTAGTAAGTAAGGCACCAAGCGGCAGAGTAAAATGTAGGATGAGCTTTCCATTCACGGAAGCATTTAGGCAGTGACGTTCTTCATCTGCCACGAGTTTTAGCAGGAGAGATTCTTGTTCCGATTAAGGTGATTGAGCCCCGACCTCCGAGCACGCAGCTCGGGGTCTGCCGAGCCGTAAGTCATTGCCTCGCTTTGATGTTTCTGGCAGCTCTCTGCTGTTACTCCTTGACGTTCATGAGATTTGCCTACAAGGTGCAGCCTCGAAACTGGCTTCTCTTCGCCTGCCACGCCACAAACGAAGTCGCCCAGCTCATTCAGGGGAGTCGCCTTATCAAATACGAGTAAGCCCCTTCCGGTCTCATCACTTCCGTTTTGAGAAATTACGGAGAACGAAACTCAAATCTGGAGGCGTCGGGGGCACCGGGCGTGAGTGTGTGCAGAGATGATGCGTTAGCTGTGGGGGAAGCTGGACTCTGAGCAAAAATACGCTGTTGAAAAAAAAAAATATGCTGCTGAATTGAAAACAGTGAGTGCACTGCAGGTTTGCTTATTAAAGCGTGCAAATTGACAGGAAGTAGGATATTGCTGTTTTCATAACATTTTCGGTTTTAATAAATGTAAAGGTGTCTTCTCAAAGTCATCCAAGTTCTTGGAGGCCCCAGTGAAATTTGTCTCAAACTGAATTTTTCTTTGTGTTTATTTCCAGGATGACTAAAAAGGCATCAGCGTAACAAGGGAAAATGAAAAACCAGCTGTTGGAAGGGAAGCTATGCCGCTGCTGAGTCAGTCCGCCTCACGATAGGCTCGCTAAGGAAAACAGGCTGGCTACTATTTTTACTAACCAGTTTTTCTAGAAATAGCTGAGAGTCCCGAAGCAACTCTCTGCTGCCTTACAAGTACCGAATATTTCACTTCTCTTCGTAAAGAGTAGCTCAAAATATGCAATCAATTTAGTAATTCCCGATGATGGTTTTATCTGCGGTAATATGGATAGTACCTGTTAGAATTTACTTAATGAAAAACCGAAGAGAACATCGTTTGTAATTATTAGCATTTAAGTACTCAGAATTCTTAACTGTAATGACCACGAGACCGACGGCTGGCCACATACTCCAATCTCATTGCCAATGTTTTGAAAAAGTGTGTATTTCCGTGCAGTGTGTATATTGAGCTGCTGGAACTTAATGGCAATAAACGATTTAAATATTTGTCAAATGAGTGTGATATTAAGTATCTTGCTGGGCTAAAAAACCGCAGAACCAGAATGTCCCTGGAAAGAGCGTTGTGCGTAGAGTGGCGCTCCTGGAAAACGAGGAAGGCGGCCGGGGGACGGCGAGCTGGACGGCCGGTGTCGGGAAGGCGCCGACGGTCACTCAGGACGCGCTCTTTCCTCCGGGCGGCGTTAGAAAGTGCACCCACGGGTGGCACCTGGAGCAGGCCGTGGGGTGGCTGATGTCGAGCCGAGCCGTGCCCCCGAGAGCCGTCGGGTGACAGCCCACAGCAGACAGGCACGTGTCCCCAGCTCTGCGGGCACCCGAGCAGGGGAGCCCATGGCTCAGGAGCCGCTCCGGGGAGTCGGCTGGGTAGGGGGAGGCCACAGCGCTAACCCGTCCCCACGGATGGCGGCACCGCTTTCTGTGGCAAAGAGCGGCAGGCGGATCGGAGTCATTTCTCGCTGTCACTCTCTTTAAAGGCGCGAGACCGTGGGCAGAGCGTTCTCACCTGTGCTCCTGTTTCCCTTCTGGAGGCGAGGGGGCGCCGCCTCCGGGGTGCCCTCAGGCCCGTTGCTCTGCACTTGACCCGAGCGGGGGTCGGGCGAGAGGACCCAGCGACGAGAGCCCGGACTGGCTTAGCGAAGCGAGAGCGCCAGGTTCCAGTTGTGCAGGTAACGTCGCTTGTGAGAACCCCAGAGCGCAGGGTGTGGAAAGTGCCAGCTGGAACCTGCCTGGGGCTTCCGGCCGCCCTCCGGTGCCAGCCACCGCTGGCGTTCTGGTTTGGGATCTTCTTCTTTTAAAAAAGGTTTTGTTTCAATTTTATTTATTTACAGAGAGCACGCACACACGCGGGGGAGGGTCACAGAGAAGGCGTGACAGAATCCCAAGCAGGGGATGCAACATCATTGCAGAGCCCGATGTGGGACCCGAACCCACAAACTGTGACATCGTGACCCGAGCCGAGATCAAGAGTCGGACGCCCAACCCACCGCGCCCCTAGGCGCCCCTGGGATCTTCCTCTTTCTTTTGTCCCTTGCGGTTCTCGTCCGCCCGTCTCACGTGCTACTGGGGAACAAGGGCCTTTCCCGCCTCTGAAGGGACGGCTGTCCCGAGAGCCTCGGGGATCGTGGTGCAGACACTGCAGACCTGTGAGCAGGCTGCCTCAGTGGGCCTCCCCATACACCTGAGAAGGCAGGCAGGGGCCAGCACGGTCCCTTCTCCAGCAGGTGTTCCTGACGTGAGACAGAAACCTGCAGGGGCGTCTGGGCGGCTCAGGTCACGATCTCAATGGCTCGTAGGTTCAAGACTCACGTCGGGCTCTGTGCTGACAGCACAGAGCCTGCTTGGGATTCTCTCTCTCTCTCTCTCTCTCTCTCTCTCTCTCTCTCTCTCAAAAATAGACAAATACATTAAAAAGAAACCTGCAGATGGACACAGAGGAACACATGGGATGAAGGTCCATGCAGACGATGCAGAAGTTGCATGAGGAGGGGGTACTGGGTGCCCTAGGGGAGCAGGGAGGTCCACCATCCTGGGGAAAGGAGCGAGGGACCAGGAGGGGACACTGATCCTGTCCCTGGCTCCCTCAGAGGGTCTGAAGCTCCCAGCCATCTGCCTTCTCTGCGCAGGGCCGAGCGCTTGCGGGTCGGAGGGAGGGTACGGGCGAGCCCAGAAGGCGTGAAGCGTTCCACCGCGGGGGTCTGGGTCCTGATCTCACCCAGATCAACGCCGACGTGAGAAAGTACGTTCCAGAGCAGAATTCCTTTGTGTTTTTGTTCTTGTTGTTTTCAAGCTTCTTGGTTGCTTTAAAATGACCAGTAGCAGAAAGGACACTTCCCACAAGTGGGCGTCCAGGTCGTCGGTGATCCTTGTCAGGAGAAGACCGACCGGTTAGCCGTCACTCTGCTCTCGGGCAGTGGCAGCCTTCCAGGCGGCAAGGACTCCGAGGCCTGGGCCGGCTCCCGCCCGTACTGCTTTCCTCCTGGGGACTGGCACGGCTCTGCCTCCTAGGGACGTTTGCGGGATATTCTCACGAAAGGTGGCGTCGGGTCCGTGCCCAGGGCCGTGTGTGGTGGAGACACTGCTGGTGACGTTTGTACAGTCACCACAACACGAGTCAGCCCTCCAAGTGGTAGTGGCCCCACGAGAAAACGCAGAGACAGGACGGGGTTGAAGCAAAACTCGGTTACCTGAAAAAGCCCAGAAATACACGCTCAGAATGTCTAATGCCTGCACGTGACCATCTCTAAAGGTAACACACAAGGGCTCCCGAGTACTTTTCATTTTCCGGTAGCAGAATACACGGATGCACGTGTGCTGTCACCAACCTCCAAGGTGAGGCTGGCACCAGCTGTCCGTGCTCACGTGCTGTGGTGGCTTCAGGCATCTCCCTTCTTGCTGTGACCACCCCGTGGGGCGGAGGTGACCATCGTCAAGCGCTTCCTGACTGCGCGCCACAGACAGCGGGGGTCCTGGCGCGGCGGCTCAGGGCGAGAACGGCCACTGCCAGCTTGAGGAAACCGGACCCTCAACGGCCTTTTGTTTCCTAATCCTTCCTCCGCAGGCGGCTGGCACCGTGCCCTCGGCCACACACGCCCGCCAGGCTGGGCGGACCCAGGCTGGGCTCGTTCGTCTCCGTCCTCTTCCACTTGGACCTTGGCTTCCCAGGTGCGTGGCGGGGTCCGTCTGGATGGCGTGTTTACACGCTAGTGAGAAAGTGAGCGTGGGCCCTGGCATGTCGACATTGTATCACTTGGAAGTCACTTGGATGGCCTCAGAGATAATGGCCACATCATCTAAAGCAAAGCCCGAGTTACCTGGCACCGGAGCCCTTGAGGGAGAGCAGCGGCAGGGGTCTGAGCAGAAAGGGGTCGCTCCAGGCAGGAAAACCCCCAGAAAGCCCCGGCCTCACTGTCAGCCCCCAGGCACCTGCTGAGAGCTGAGCTGAGCCGGGCGGGCCCACAGCACTCCCAGGGTTTTGCTGGTTTGGGTGGAGGTGACAGGAACTGCGGGAGGGTGGCACGAGGAGGATGAGCCCCTGGCAGCTTGACTACGAAAGGACACAGCTGCTTTACCTACGGGCACAGCAAGTGATGTTCCTTGGCCCGTTAGCCAACATCCGCCATATTCCTAACGAACCTGGCGGAACTGCTTTCAGGGGCTCTGGAAGGTCTGTCTGCGGCAGATGGGACCATATCGCAGCCCCGCCTGGACATTCCCACCGAAACCAACAGGTGCGTGGTGCTGGTTAAATGGTGGTTTTCTATTTCTGTTTATCAGCAGGACGCTCACTTACAAACACAGCCCTAACTGAAACGGCAGGATACGTGCTCCACTCTTTCCTTTCTCACTCAATTTTATTTTATTAAAAAAAAAAATTTTATGTTTATTTATTTCTGAGACAGAGAGAGACAGAGCATGAGTGAGGGAGGGGCAGAGAGGGGGAGACACAGAATCCGAAGCAGGCTCCAGGCTCCGAGCTGTCAGCACAGAGCCCCACGCGGGGCTCGAACCCAGACCGTGAGATCATGCCCTGAGCCGAAGTCAGACGCTTAACCCACTGAGCCACCCAGGCGCCCTGAGTTCACTGCCGTTGCTCAGGTTTGTTTTAAAGGTGAAGGCTTTTGCAGTTCTTGGAGCTGATAGTTCTGAGGACGTGGTAGCTTTGGGCCTGTTTTCTCAGTGCGGGAAATCGGGGGTCAGCCTGCGAGCGCACTTCGAGGTGACAGGCCCATCTGAGCAATGTGATCTCTACGAGCGCAGTAGCCACGTGGGGAGGAAGGGGGCACGCGTGCCCAGGGCGTGCTCGCGGAGTCGCTTGCCTGAAGTGCTCTGCCCCGGGCTCTGATCCGTTTCTGTCCGCCAGAGGCAGAGACGCACCCTTCCCTGGGCTGACCCTTCCCCAGGCTGACAGCCAAGTGCGGCCAAAAGTGGTGTCACTGTGACAGTGGTCTTGGGTTTTTTTGTTTGTATTTTTAAGTACACAACTATAGTCCTTAAAAGGTCTTAAATACAGGGGCGCCTGGATGGCTCAGCCGGTTGAGCGACCGACTTCGGCCCACGTGTTCGTGGGTTCGTGGGACTCTGTGCTGACCGCTGGGAGCCTGGAGCCTGCTTCGGATGCTGTGTTTCCCTCTCTCCCTACCCCTCCCCTGCTCCTGCTCTCTCTCCATCTCTCAAAAAGAAATAAATGTTAAAAAAATTTTTTTTTGAAAAGGTTTGATTCTGTCCATCTCCCTAGAATCTCCCAGAGCAAGGTTAAACGGACTCCCACGAAGTCAGGAGGCTGTTCAGAGAGAATTGTTCGGATTTACACGACGTGAGCCTCGGTGCGGAAGTACATAGCCTGGTCCATGGAAACTGTGGGTGCCACGGGCATTTACGGACAGAAGTCAGAAAGGGCGGGCACGAGGTAGAACTTTCACATTGGGACGAGAGTAGACAGTTGAACTGTGTAGGTCGGTGACAGCACTAGAAACGAAGTAGGAAAAGGTAGAGTTGACTTGTTTGGGCCAGAACTCATCAGTCGTCACAGTGACACTGCTTTTGGCCACACTTGGGCGTCAGCCCGGGGAAGGGTCGGCCCGAGGCCACTGCAAGGCTAACGTGGGCGGTAGGGAGCTTCACCGCAGCGTTTGCTTTTGGCTGAGAGAAACGTGTCAGAGCCCAGGGCAGAGCACTCAGGCAGACGATCCGGGAGCACGCCCTGGGCACGCGTGGCCCCTTCCTCCCCAGTGGCTGAGGCACTTTGCACAGAACAGAGAAAACGGAGACTATCAACACAGTAATAGAGCGGTCAGCGGACCCAGTCTTTCAAGTTCTTCTGCATTTCAGTTCAACCACACTCCACTTCCTCCTAAAAGCCTTTCTAATTAAGAATTATATAACTTAGGGGCGCCTGGTTTGTGGGTTCGAGCCCCGCGTCGGGCTCTGTGCTGGCAGCTCGGAGACTGGAGCTTTCTCTTGATTGTTTGTCTCCCTCTTTCTCTGCCCCTCCCCTGC